AAAAAAAAAGTTCTTTCAGTGTTGTTCATCTATGGATGATTGTTTTTTAAGGAGTTGTTTACATGTGTTTTCAACAAATTCCTCTCTCGGTGAGTTTTGTGATTGAAACACCCGCTGCCCCAGGAAAAGAGTATTCTGCAGTGAGGTGCAGGAGCTTGTCTTCCAAGGCAGAACATGCCTAACACAAGTGTTTGACATGAATTTAACTCTAGTTTAAGTTAGTTGAATTTCAAAAATATTGTTTTAACTGTTTTCCCTCCACTCTCCCCTCTAGGAGTGCCGTGGAGAAAGCAATGGCTTCAGGAAGCCATAGGAGTTCAGAGAGCACCGTGAGCCGGGCCAATCGGGATCAGCTTGTCCCAAAGATAAACACAAGCAAGACAATGGCCACCTTAGTGAACCTCCCTCGCCTCTTGGAAATGCCCCCGCAGATTAAGAAAAACTGTGGAGGCAAACGGGTAGACATCACAGTTGAAAGAATCAAAAGAGCGAAGAGCGTCAAAGAAAAACAAAGCAATGATTTCGAGAAAGTGGGCTTTAAACGGAAGGCAGAAGGGGAAGAAAAGCCCACCGGAAAGAAAGAGGCAAAGACAACCGAATCTGACAACCAATTAATCATCACGCCTCTGCCTCACATCCCCTTAAAGAACATAATGGATGTGGAAATGAAGTTGGTCTACATTGACGAAGAACATGTGAGCTATGAGTTTGCTGAGCCCTGCGTGTCCACGGGGATCCAGCCAACCTGCCGCGCTGCTGAAATAGTAGGCCCTTTGAGTGTACCTAATTTCAGCCTTCCGCCTCAGATGGACAAATGGCTTCAGGTAGCCTTAAAGGATGCCAGCGCCTGCTATCGACAAAAGAAATATGGCGTTGCAGCAGGACAGTTCCGAACTGCACTTGAGGTATGGAATTCAAGCGTGTATAGATCGGTGGCAGGGGGCTGTGACGTGGATAGCTGCAATTACATTGTGTAGTGTTGATCGTAATGTAAGAAACAATGATCACAGGGTGATGATGTTGAACAATATCAGGATTATGAAGTTCCTAGTTACATAAAGCAAACAAGGTTCGCCTGCAAATTAATAGGCCTGGGTGCACTTCACAGGTAGGAGCAACCTGAAAAGCACACCTTTTGCTTTTTCTCTGTTAGCAAGCCTGCAAGGCAATGGTAAAATATTTCAAAATGCTGTTGATTACTTAAGTTAGAGGGAGACCTATAAAAATCATACAGTTTTTAGTACAGGAGTAGCTGATAGAGTCTCTAGAAACAAGCAGTTAATGGATCTCACTGATAGTCTTTTGATAAGGATTCTTTATGACTAAACATAACCACCCCTACTTTTTAGCAGGGGCTAATGGCATAAGTACAATCCTTCTTAAAACAAACACCGCCTGACCTTCAAGCACTTTATCATCAAAATTCACATTCTAATGAGTGTGATGGATGATCTTTTTTCTATTTGGAAGCAGGTTTGTCACTCTGTTGACATAGAGAAGTAGCTCGTGGAGTAAATAACCGTGAGAGTCACCACTGACATACAAAGGAAATGGTGAAGGAAAGTCCTTCGTCATTGAACCTATAGAATGATCCAAAGTATGACTAGAAGTCCTGTTTGTCTGGCAGTTGTACGATTCATATACCATTAATCATACACAGACACACACACACGTCAGTGCATTCCATATGGCTGGCATTTCGTTAGGAAACAGAGATACAAAAGGAGACATTGAAGGTTTCACCTGACTGAAAGAGACAAGACATACTGACAGGTAAATCGAGATGGAATAAAGAAGTGATTGATTCTCTATTCTGGGGAGAGGCAGAAATCAAATATGTGACATTTGTCATGGAAATTTTAAAGAGTAAATAGTATGCTCACTGTTGTTTGCAAGTTAAAATGACTATGCCTAGAATACTTATTAATGGGCTGTACCAGGCAGTGATGCCCCTAAATATTGAAAAAGAAACTTTAAGGACCCCAAAGGAGGCTCAAAGGGACATAAAGTGATTAAGGCTCACACAAATAAATGTGCCTCTATAAAATATCACTGCCCTCATAAAGAGTCATCTACACATAGCAAGGATGTACAAAACACTATTAAAGCTCTATCCAAACTTCTTTTTTTCCCCTTAATCATTTTACCACAATCCATACGTCCATCCATTGTGTCAAGCACATTTGTACATTTGTTGCCCTCATCACTCTCAAAACATTTGCTTTCCACTTGAGCCCTTGATATCAGCTCCTCATTTTTTTCCTCTCTCACCGCTCCCCCTCCCTCATGAACCCTTGACTGTGTACAAAGTGGCAGGTTATACACAGACTCCTGAAAGAGTCCTTTTGCTGTCCTGTGAGCTAAAGTCCAACAGAACCCTAGCCAGGAAAAGAAATATCAGTGAAAAACTCCACAAAGAGCATGGAGGGTCATTTTCAGACATGTTTGTGCTGTTGTTACAAGCTTTATTAACAATAACAACAAATGGACCGTATTTTGGCAATAAGAGATCGGAATAAAATAAAGATGCTATGTAAAATTTAAATCAAATGTAGGTATAAACCAAAGAGATCCCTATAGACTAGAAAACAAATACTCAGTTTTTCATAAGATCCAATAATCAAAATTACAACCATCAAATCAATTTTAATAACTGCAAAGCACAGTTGTATTGAAAAAATGCTTGTATGCTGGGTCTCTCTGGTGCACATTCTGTCTTCTGTCTCTGTCTCAGTCTCATGGGGATTTTAGGGAAGTTTTGGATGCTGACACTAATTACTGGTAATTAACAAAGGTAATTATTTTGAGACAAAACTTAGCTTAGACATCTGGCCTCGCTTTCATCTAATTATCTCTAGAGTTAACGTTGAAATCTTACCTACAATGTCTCTTAATAAACCAAAGCTACAGGGAATAGAGAAGCTTTGCAACCTCTTTAACCCTTCTCCTGAAGCATTAAATTTAGTTTCTGCAATATTGAGTGTTCTTGGATATTACGTAATGCATTTCCCCTTTTCCTTTAGATCCTAACAAGGCTGAATAAGATAGAATGGTTGGCAGAGAGCAAGGCACAGTGAGAAATGACCATACCTGTGCGACAGACACATACCAGAGAATACTTGAGTGTGTAAACGTTAGGATTCGGTTTGAATGCAGTTGAAGGAAAACCAAAATACCAGTGTCAGAAGCAAAGTAGAAATTTATATATTTCTTTCACACACGAATTTGGATACTCAAGGACTAGTTTGGCCAGATTGTCTGTCATATATCTTGTTCTTCAAGATAGGATTCTGAGCTCCAGCTCCGAAATATCTGTTCTTGTTGGTGTCACTACATCCATATTCCAGACAGTTGGAAAGAGAAAAAGGAAGGAAGAGGTACACGGCCCTCCTGGAAGGGCACTTTAGAGAGGCTGCACAAAATCAGTTCTTGGCCCATACGTATCTGCAAGAGAAAGAGGCTGAGAAACATGGTATTGAGTGCAAATGGCCCTGATAGTCAGGAATTCTTTACAATGGCAATCTGCTTTTGAAAATTCAGCCATTGAGAATCTTTTTTTTTATTAATAAATCATTTTATTGGGGGCTCTTACAGCGCTTATAACAGCAATCCATATATCAATTGTATCAAACACATTTGTACACATGTTGCCATCATCCTTTTCAAAACATTTTCTTTTTTTAAAAAATTATTTTATTGAGGGCTCGTACAATTCTTATCACAGTCCATACATCCATCCATTGCGTCAAGCACATATGTACACCTATTGCCCTCATCAATCTCACAACATTTGCCCTCCACTTTAGCCCTCAATATTGTTTGCTCGTTTTCCCCTTCCCTTCCCCCCCTCCCTCTTGAACCCTTCATAATTCATAAATTATTATAGTTTTGTCATAAGTTACACTGTCCGACATCTCCCTCCGCCCCCTTCTCTGCTGTCCATTCCCCAGGGAGGAGTCTATACTTAGATTCTTGTAATTTGTTCCCCCCTAGTTCTACCCTGACACATCTGGAGTCGCCATGAATCTGAATGGCAGTGGCAGCTGGTAATTGCTGAGGAAGGAAAGAGAATGAATGTTGAAGAACAGCTAGTACCTCTCCCATATTCAGGTGTAAGACATGTTGCCAAATTATTGCTATGTAGAAGTCTGTTTTCTAAGATGATATGAGAGGCTAGTTATTAAAGGGAAAATGGAAAAGTTCCCAGAGATATATGACTTAAAATCTTAGAAACCCTACACAGGGTCACAGAATACAATTCAGGAGACAATGTCCGCAGGTGGCGTAAATGATGCAAACAGATTGGACTTGATTGCTAACTGAAAGGTTAGTAGCTCCAAGTCACCAAGTAGTTCCCCAGAAGAAAAACCCTGCCAGTCTGCATCCATTAAGATGATAGCCAAGAAAATCCTATGAAGCAAATCTGCTCTGTGACACATGGGGTTACCATGATTCAGAATCACCTACATAGCAAGTAACAACATACCAATTCACCTGCTATCAAAATAGTTATGCTCATGATAAAGAATTTTATACAAGAAATGTGCCTTGTGTTGGGGTATTTGCATCTTAGGTCAATAAATTTATTGACTGTCGATGAAAAGTTGGTGGTGTTAGGTACCATCAGTCAAGTCAGCGTCAACTCCATGTATAACGGAATAAAACACTACCCAATCCTGCACCGTCCTCACAAAAGGCATTACGTTGAAGTCCATTGTTGTCGCACGATGTCAGCCTGTCTCATCAAGGGACTTCCTCTTTTCCCTGCACTTCTGTTTTACCAAGCCTGATATCCTTTTCCAGGAACTGATCCCTCCTGATCACGCTTCCAATTCTAAGAAGGATTCTGACTGTACTTCTTCCAAGTTCGTCCATCGGGCAGGAAGTAGTTTTAACATCATCCAATAGCACCACAATGCAAATGCACCCATTCTGCTTCAGTCTTCCTTATTCAGTGTGCAACTTTCAGATGCTTATGTGATGATTGAAGATACCATGTCTTGGTTTACATGCACGTAGTTCTCGAAATGACATTATTGCTCTTCAAGACTTTAAAGAGGTTTTGTGCAGCAGATTTACCCAGTGCTGCTTCCATGAGCATTGATGGTGGCCTGGAAGACTAATCACTTCTCCTTTTATCATGATGTTGTTTGGGTGCAGTGGCGCTGTGTGCTCCTTCCATCCTTCCATCTTCTGTGATGCTTCCTGCATCAGTCAGCATTGTAACTCAGTGCGTGAATGTTTGCTTTCAGTTCTTTCAGAGAGATGCCGAGTCTGCTCTTCCTTTTAGGTTTTCAAAATCCAGGTCTTTGCCCATTTCATTACAATACTTTGTCTTTTCAGGCGGTTCTTTGCAATTCTTTATTCAGCTCTTTTTTACTTTATAATTTATTCCATTTGCCCTTTATTTTAAAAAATGTTTTATTGGCACATAATTCTTGTACCATTAAATTTAATATTATATATATTAAAAAGAGTTGTGCAACATTCACCACCTTTTAGAACATTTTCTTCATTTTTATATGCATTATTATTAGCTACCCATACCATCATAACTAAGGAACTATTATTAATCTAGTTACTGTCTTTATGATTACCTATCCTGGATTTCATATAAAGAAATCATATTCGAAAACCCAACAATGACAGCAAATAAAACACAGAAAAGCCTCAATCCAAAAGAAAGCAGAATATAATAGAAGCTAGAGCAAATTAAAAATAAATCCAAAAGGAAAATATGTTAAATTTTAACCTAATTATATCTGTAATAATCCAGGCAAGATTATCCACATCGCATGTCACAAAAAGCAATGAAAGTATCACAGTAGCATCTATATATGGTAGTCTTAAATTTCCAGTTACTCAACATCCTCAGAAGAAAGAGGTTTGAACCAAAGTCCACTGA